CAAACTGATTTCCTATTGGCCTAAGTATCTGTATCTATTAAATAAAGAAGTGAGATTATGTGATATGTAAGGTGTCCTTCAGTTTTGATAGTCTATTGGTGAGATTCAGACTTGAAATATATTTGGTCTGGTGCCTGGCATATAGTAAATGTTCAGTAAATATTGGTATTACCCATGATCTATTATCATTATTCAGTCTGATAAGCTTTCTCTGCCAATCCTGAATTTAACATACCAGAAAATCATTTAGGATCTCAAGGACTGGGTAACTTTTTACCAGGCAGTGGAATGTCCAGTGACATTTTCCCCCTTGTTCAGCTCCAAACAGACCCACTATGAATTTACCATTGATTCACAGAATAATCACAGGCTAGCAGGAAATCTGCTAGTTTCCAGAAGAAGAGTTAACAGAGGAAGAAATATGATCTCTCATAAAGCAAATGCTTCCCAGGTTGCAATTTCAAAATATGCCTTCCTAGAATTCCTGTTCATTTCTTCCCTCTACTAAGCTGCTTAGATTTCTGTTCACTGCCCTTCACTCACATTTTCTTAACAAAAAGGAAGCATTTATGTAATTATTGTATTTCAACTTGTTTTTCAGTGATTTGAACTAATTACGACTATTCTACCAGCCCTACCTCCTTTTGCCTACTGAACTATTTGAAATGGGGCTGACTGTCATAATCTGAATGCTTAAGGCCCTGAAGTGAGACAGTCCCTGGCTACAACTATTGATCCTTATCTAGAAGCTTTAAGTCTTGGCTAACAGGGCTTTATTCAGGGAAGCTAATGAGTTCATTAAGGGAAATTACAAAGCAGGAAGACCAGAGCTATGTGTCAAGAGAGGAGGACTACTTTGATGTCATTTAGGTTTAAGAGGCACGCTTTTTAAAGAATGCACTTATAATTGAGCCACAAGATAGCTAGCTGCGACACTAGTGGATATAAGAAGCATAAATCCACATTCAAGTGTTTAACAAATAAATGTATTTTTCTTTCCTTTCAAAAAATACATATGTCCAAAAAAAAAAAAAAAAAAAGTTCCATTGAGTAAACCCAACCCAGGATTTGGTTTATAACACAAACAAGTGATTTCTCCACTTCTTTCCTTATTTTCCCATTCTATCTTATGCTCAGCATCCCAAGCAGAGCATGCTTGCAAAACACAAGAGCGTTAATGGAAATAAAAAAGAGAAGCACATTATGCGTGCGTGCGTGCGCATGTGCATGCGTACGTGCACACACACACATTAATGAGCAAGTCTATGCCTCTGGAAGTCTGTTGCACCATTGCTCTTCATTTCTTTCAGAAGTAGAAGCCCAGAGGCAACATGGCTTTCCAAGGAAAGCATTCTGTACTGCCTTTGTAGTCCACAAGATAATGACCCCAGGGTCCCAGAAAGAAATCTCCAGGCCATGCTTCAAATTTGACTCCTGAAATTCCTTGTGAGGTGCTGATGGCTCGTGTCTGTAATCCTAGCTACTCAGGAGGCTGAAACCTGAGGACTGAGGTGAAGCCAGGAGGGGCTGTAAGTCTGAGCGACTCTGATCTCCAATTAAAACTCCAAAAAGAAGCCAGAAGTGGAGCTCTGGCTCAAGGGATAGAGTGCTAGATAGCTTTGAGAAAAAAAAAAAAAAAAAAAAAGCTCAGGGATAGCATCCAAGTCCCAAGACACACAGACACACACAGACACAGACACAGACACACACACACACACACACACACAGAGTTCCTTATGAGTGGCCACTCTACTATAGATTATGGTCAGGTAGACTTCCTTCTTTGTATACTGAGATTTAGACTGAACTCTTGTTGTTTCATTTGAAACCTACCAGATTCCAGAAGAATAAAGTAATGTTGTTTCTAGGTACAGATAGGGATGGTTGAGGGGGAAGGTTACACTGGTGTAAACTAAGAAGGGTGCCAGTGGCTTATGCCTGTAATCCTAGCTACTCTGGAGGCTGAGCTCTGAGGATCACAGTTTGAAGTCAGCCCAGGCAGGAAAGCCTGTGAGACTCTTTCACCCATAAATTATTCAGAAAAAGCTGGACAGAGAACAGTGGCTCAGTTGGTAGAGTGTTAACCTCAAACAAAAGAAGCTCAGGGACAGTGCCCAGGCCCAGAGTTCAAGGCCCAGCACTGGCAAAAACAAAACAAAACAACAAAAACTATGAAGCTGGCAAAGGGAGGAGGAAATATCACTCAAAGAACTGGTCAGTAGTTGAACTATATGAGTATTCTAAGGCCAGGAATTGTGTTTACGCTTTTCTACTTATAAATGATAATGCATACACCACTGAATTTCAATTCCACTAATATTTTGTGTCTCCCTTACCTTTACTCTTTCTCCAGTGCCCAGAACTAGCTGCTCCAAAGAGATATGCTAAAACTGTCAAACAAATAAATGGAGTATATGTGCCTGTCTGCAAATGACTAAATTCTTTAGATTCTCGACTTCCTCATCAATAATAGGGAATAAATGTTGTTTTGTGGGCTTGATTGCATGATTCAATGATATGAGCAGACTTTCACAATGTATAAAATGTCATAAAATGTTATGCTTATGCTGCTATTGGAAGTTAAGATCGGCCGGTGATGTTTCAGATAACCTCATCATTGAGCGATGGATTACTCTCAAATGCACTCAGCTAGTCCTTAGGAAGAAAAACAAGTAATGGATAGAGGTAAGGAAAAAAAAAAAGCAAGATGAGTTAGGGTTATGGTGAAAGTGTGTGTGTGTGTGTGTGTGTGTATGTGTGTGTGTGTGTGTGTATGTGTGTGTATGTGTGTGTGTGTGTAGGTGTATGTGTATGTGTGTGTGTGTATGTGTGTGTGTGTATGTGTGTGTGTGTATGTGTGTGTGTGTGTGTGCATACATGCAAGTATTTGTGCATCTGTGCCACTTTCAGCTGGCTTTTTCACTCCTTCTGGCACTCTACCATTTGAGCCATGCCACCAGTTCTGGATTTTTTCCCCCTGTTCATTAGAGATGAGAGTCATAGATTTATATTTCCCAGGCTGGCTTCTCAGACAGCAATCCTCAGATCTCAGCCTCCTGAGCAGCTAGGATTATAGAAGAGAGCCAGAGTTTTCTACAGTGAAAACGTTGTAGGGCAGTTGAATTATTTCATTAGAGACAATGCTTCTTCTGACAATATACCAATGGATCCCTTCATCTATGAAAAGAAACCTAAGAGAAGCCAGAAGAAGGCTAATCCAGTTTCCCCTAGTCCCCTCCAGTTAAAGCTCCTGAGGCAGCACAAGGCCTGGCTGCACGTGGCATTTTGTTTTTTTCTTTAACTTACTTTTTAGATCGTTATTGTAAGGGTGGCATACAAAGGGGTTAGAGTTATTTCAGTCAGGTAAATGCCACCCTTCCCGCCCTCCCTCCCAGTTTTTCCTTTCCATCCCCACTTACAAGTTGTGCAGTTCATTTTCAACACAGGGGCTAGTGAGTCCCCCTGCTGCATGTGTGCACACCCTGCATTTTTAACTTTCTCTCTGCCTTACATCCTAACACGCCTGGTGCTGTGAAGGAGGTGCATTTAACTTACCCAGCACAAAGCTGGAAGTGGGCGCGTGGCTCAACTGGTAGAGGCTCAGGAAAAGCTCCTGGACACTGAAATCGACCTGCATTTAAAAAGAAGGAAAGGAAAGGAAACGCCATTGACTTTTCCAGGACCGTGCTTGGAAAAGCTGGACACCGTTCCCCTCGCTTGGAGAAGCCGAGAACCTTCCATCAGGTGCACATCCAACCGAATGAATGGAAGGGGCCCTGGGGTCTGACACGTCCACCCGCGGCGCGTGGCCCCGCGTCCCCAGCCAGCAGGCAGCCCACTTGGGAAGGAGCTGCGGTCCGAGTCGGTGCGTCTTGGGGTCCGGGGGGGGCCGGGGGTGGGGTGCAGCGCAAACCCACAGTCGCTGAAAAGCAGGAAGGGCGAACGAAGTGAAACTCTGGGGCTGCTGGTCTGGCGGGCTGACACCCGGGCGACCTTCCCGAAACGCCGAGCTGTGAGGACGAGGGGCGGGGCGGGGGGGAACGAGGGGCTCGGGGGGCGCTCGCTTCACCCGCCACCCGCGTGCGCAGGGGGGTGGAGTGGCGGGAGATGCAGGCAGATCGAACCGGGCGGAGGGAAGTGCAGGTCAAACACCCCCCCCCCCCACGACCCCCTCCCCCTCCCCCAGCTCCCCCTCCCCAGCCCCGGTGGGGGGACCCGGCCTGGGCAGCCCCGGGGAGCCCGGGAGGGTTCGGCTCGGGCAACCCGGAGGCGCTAGGACCGGGCTGGCGCCTGGCTGCGGCCTCTTTGGGGAGGGGCGGGAGGGAGGTGGGGGGAGAGGGGGAAGGAGGGGTGCGGGGGGAGCGGGGGAGTCATTTAGGCGGAGCGGGCGCCGCTGCCATTTGCCGCTCACACTCCTCGCGTGCCGGAGGAGAGCGCCGGGGAGCGGGGAGCAGGGCGCGGGGGAGACCCGGCCCGGCGGAGGGGGCGCCCGGCCGCTGCCTGCACCGCCCCCCGCCGGTCAGCTCCGGACTCTCGGGGAGGCGGGGGGGGGGGGGGCCGGGGAGGAGCGAGCGCCGAGTCTGGAGAGTCCGGGAGCGGAGCCGGCGCCGTCCCACTGCGGAGGGCGCCAGCCTCACTTCGCGCAGCCGCCCCGAGCGCCCCCTCGGCCGCGGAGCGCTCGCCCACCGCGCCCGCCGGCCGGCCCGGGAAGAGCCGGGGAGACGCAGCCCGGCCCCGGGGATGGTCTAGGAGCCGACTCGGAGGCTTCCCGGCTCCGCTCCCCCTCCCCCGAGGCGGAGGTGGGGAGGGGGGCTCGCCGAGCCCGCGGCCGCCCGCCCCGCGCCGCCGCCCGCCGCCGCCCGGAGCCCGCGCGCGCACCCGGGGCGGCCCAGGCCGGAGAAGTTAAGTTGTGCGCGCCGCGCTCGGGGCGCGCCGAGCCCGCCCGCCCGCCCGCCGAGCACCGGCCGCCGGGGCCCAGGGAGGCGCCGCCCGCGGGCGCCGCGGGGCCACCATGGGCTGGGGCCGGGGCCGGGGCCGGCCGGACCTGCTGTGCGTGCTGGCGCTGCTGGCGGGCTGCCTGCTCCCCGGGTGCCGGGCGCGCGTCTACACCAACCACTGGGCCGTCAAGATCGCCGGCGGCTTCGCGGAGGCCGACCGCATCGCCAGCAAGTACGGCTTCGTCAACGTCGGACAGGTAACGCGCGCCGGCCCGGCTCTGCCTCGGCTCCCTCGCCCCCTGGGGGAAGGCGTGGGGAGGGGGTGGCGGGGATCGGGGAAGGGGTGGGTGGGTGGGGTGTGGGGAAGGGGGTGGCGGGGGTGGGCGGCTTCTTGTCTCCTCCAGATCGGGGAAGGGGGGACCCCCGGGAACCCCCCCCCCGGCCCCTCTTCCAGATGTGCGCTCGCCGCGGCTGCCCCAACTCGCGGGCGATGCTCCCGCCGCCGGCGCGCGCTCGGCCGCGCACACTCGCGGACACTCGCGTCCGAGTCGCCGGGCTTCCTGTGTGGTTTGCGCGGCATTTCCACACGCAGGCACACCATCATCACCATCACCCCCTCTTTCGCTGCTTTTTATTTTCTTGGGGCAGCTGTGCAAACGCTCTCGCGTAGGGCACACTTCACTGGACCTTTGTGACCCCGGGAAGTCTATCTAGGAACACTACAGCGACTTCAGGAGAGGTCCCCGCGGGAGTGTGTGCGTGTGCGTGTGTGTGTGTGTTGGGGGGGGGGACACGAGCGCGCGCTGTCTGTCTGTCTGTCTGTCCGTCTCTCTCGGGCTCGCCGGTGAAGCGCCCGCCCGGGAGAGAACAGCTCCCCCCACCCCCACCCGGTGGCGCCGACCTGAATTTAACCCAGAAAGAAGTTTTGCTCTTCCTCGAGGCGCGGGGAGCCCCCGGGCGCCGGGCGCTGGACGCAGGCTTTGGACGCAGGGGTGGAGAGGGGTGGAGGGTGGGGGGCAGAGGGGCGCGAAGGGGGGCGGACGCCGTGCCACCGCGGGTGTGGGGTGGGGTCGCCGGGCGCCGGGGTCCGCGTGGGGTCCCCCGCGGAGGGGCGGGGAGGGGGAGCGAGAGGCGATGGAAAACTTCCGAGAGCCTTGGCCGGTGGGAAGTGGGGAGACTCCCCGGCGTCCGGCGCGCGAGGCCCGCGGGGACTGGGGCTGGGCTGTAAAGGGGCGCAGGGTGTTGTCTTTGGAACAAACCGGGGTGCTGCCGAGGAGCCCCCCGCAGGGTTTCCATGCTGAGTGTGAGGGGGCAGCGGCGTAGATTTGGAGGTGATCTTGGCTCCTTCGTCCTCTGGCCTCTCTCCCTTTCAGATGGAGGGGTGCGCAGGGCTTTGCGAGGGGCCCCGTCCCGGGCCTCCTCCTTGCCAGTCCACGGCTGGCCCTCGGCTGGCCCGGGCGGGCCGGCTTCTGGGGGAGCGGCTGGCGGGGGCGCCTTTCCAGCCCGCGCGCTCTGGGGCCGGGCGTGCGCTGCACGCACCCGGCCAGGGCTCGGGAGCCCGAGCCAGAGGTGCCATTTGGTGCCACCGGGGTCCCCCTCCTCCGTCCCCGCCTGAGCACAGATGGCCGAGCTCGGCCACGTCCTGGAAGACCTCCCCTCCCCCCCCGCCCCCGCCCCCCGCCCCCCGGGGGACGCCCCCCCCCCCCCCGCGAGCAAGCGGGGCTGCCCTCCGTGGGGAGGGCGAGGTGTCGCTCTTTGCCCTCTCAGAGGGAGGAGCCCTGTGCTCGGGAAGCCAGGCGGAGCAGGGCAAGGGGCAAGGGGCACCAAGAAAACCGTCCCTCTAGGTCTATCCCCCCCCCCCCCCCGCTTTTTTTTTTTTTTTAAACCAGAGCTTAAAGTTGATCCCCAGTGTGACCCAGCAAGGGGACTGGAAAGACCAACACTTGAAGTTCAGTAGCACTGATGATCTTCCCCAAGACACCTTTCAGATTCTGCTAACATTGAACATCTCCTATATGCCAAGCATATTTGGAAGGATCTTTTTTTCCTTTTTCCTTTCCTTTCCCTTTCCCTTCCTTCCCCTTCCTTTCCCTTCCCCCTCCCCCCCCTCTGGTCTTGGGGCTTGAACTTACTGCCTGAGTGCTGTCCCTGAACCTCTGTACTCAGGGCTGGTGCCCTACCAGTTGAGCCACACCTCTATTTCTGGCTTTGAGGTGGTTACATACAGATAAGAGTCTCAAGAACACTTTCCTGGAACTGTGATCCTTCAGCTCTTACTTAGCCTCTTGAGTAGCTAGGATTACAGGTGTGAGCCACCAGCATCTGGATGATACGACGTATTTCTTCATTTTCTTCGAAAATGACCTTCTTTGATCACTCTTGTTTCATATACAGCAGATGAGGAAAACAGGAGTCTTGAGAAGTTGCCGCTATGACATCAGCAGTTAGACAGTGGCAAAGCTGTGATCAGCACTGGTCCAGGGCCGCTCCCCAGGAGTCCTGCCTTTTTTATGAATCCCTGTCTGTCCATTACTTGTGGAGGTAAAAAAGAGAAAAGAGAAGCTCCCTTAGCCCCGAACTCTTTTTTTAGTGGCTCAAAAACAAAGATCTAGTCACAATTCGTAGACACTTGGTTTATACAAACGTATTCTTCCTGACACTCAGAAGTAACGTCATTTCTCCAAGGAAGAGGTACCTCTATCTTTCTGAACTCACAGATACAATAACATGGATATTGCAGAATCCGGCAGATTCTCTAGTGATGGGAGAAACTTGTCATCCAACCTACTTAAAATTGTGTGCGTGTATGTGTGAGAGCGTGCTCGTGCATGCATGCATGCTAGTACTGGGGTTTAAACTCAGTCTGGACACTGCCTCTTAGTTTTTTCGCTCAAGTCTTGCTTTCCTACCCTGGAACCACACAACCACACACTTGCTGCTGCTGCTGCTTCTTCTTCTTCTTTTTTCTTTTTTTGTGGGTCCTGGGGCTTGAGCTCTGGGCCTGGGCGCTGTCCCTGAATTCTTCAGCTCAAGGCAAGTGCTCTACCGCTTGAGCCACAGCACCACTTCTGAGGGGTTTTCTGAGTGGTTTATTGGAGATAAGAGTCTCTAGGACTTTCCTGGCTTTGAACTGTGATCTGTAGATCTCAGCCTCCTGAGTAGCTAGGATGACTGAGTGAGCCACAGGCTGTTGCCTGGCCCAGCTCCCTTTTGAAGGAGCACAAGTCATGTTCTCCAACCTCACCTGACTTTAGAAAATGCCTTATTATATGAAGATCCTTGGCTTTGCATTTTAAAAGTAATACCAAAGAAATTTACATGCAGATAGTACCAAATGTTGTTTATTGTGACTTTTACAACCCCAGTAAGGAAATGTAGTGCATACTGAGGTTGCAGAGAAGCCCTGAAATTGAAGCCGTAACCTTTGTAAAAAGATCCACTGCTCTGCAGGATAAAGCATTTCTCCCTCCAGATCAAAGGAGCTCAGCCTATCCTGAGTTTTTGGGATGGTGAACTGAGTTCACACATGCAAGGGCCAAATGTATTTCTTATTCACTGTATTGCACTGTCAGGACCAAATGTATTTCTTATTCATCCTTTACTGCACTGGCCTTTTAACACCTTAGACCTGGTTTTGTTATTCTTTCTTTCTAGCAATAAACCATCTGTGGTTCAGCTGAGGGCAGTTAGTAATTTGCAAATGTCTCTGGAATATTCTGCTGTTTCTGCCCACTTGGACATAAGAGTCTCATCTCTTGTGTCAAAAACTGAAACTATGACTGGTAATTATTTCTGAAGCCATTTTGCTATCCTAGTAGTACTTTTGATATCTTCTGTATGATAGTCTATTAGGTGAGTAAGATAGTGAATTTTTACCATAATAAAGCTACAAATTTGATAGCTTACTCAGAATATCAATGTAATGTTTTGCTGTAGCATCTTAGCATTTAAAAGCCACCAGGGGTAAGCTTTCTGGCCTGGAGATTTCTATAGAAAAAGCATAGGCTCACAAAAGACAAGATACACTGAGTAACACAAGAAGCAATCAGACAAACAAGCAACAGGGACAGGCCTCTAGAAGGCAAGAGTAATAAGGTTTTCTTGCTTCAGGTTATAGAGACTGCATTATGCTTTCAAAAGTTTTCACAAAACGTTCCTATTTTATGCATGGCTATGCCTTGATATACTGAAGTGATACCTCACTATACTCCTTGTTAGTCCTTGTTATCCTGCCAGCTCCTGTTTTACTTGGTAGTGCTTGAGCTACAGAGTGCTTTGCCTAAACTCTCTTTTCTTAGTATCTGGCACTGGCAGCACCTGCTGGGCTGGCTGAAGGGAGGAGGGGTACATGTCCATTTGCCTTCACAGAGAAGGGAAAGAGGCCTTTGTCCTCTGTCATTAATCTCCCTAATTCATCATCCTGTGCTCTGACCCTTTGAGCAGAAAGCCTGCCAGTTAGAAAATTTAAATTATATTTAAAGGAATAAAACTGGACACGTTGCTCATAGTAGATATTTGTGTATATTAACTCTATAATAAGGAATTCATTTCTAGATTATTATTGTTATTATTTGTGCTGGTACTGGGGCTTGAACTCGGAGCCTGTCCTTTAGCTTCTTTCTGTAAAGACTGGAACTCCGTCCTTTGTGCCACACTTTCAGCTTTTTGGTGATTAACTAGAGATAAGATCTTGTTGACTTTTCAGCCTGGGCTGCACTTAAACCTTGAATCTCAGATCTCAGCCTCCTGTGCAGCTAGGATTGTAGGCATTAGCCAGTGGTTCCTGGATAGCTTCTGGTCATTAACTCTAAGGGGAAGATCGTTGTGAACAGATAGTTTTCAATGGGTAATTGCTGTATTGATTACTCTGAAAATTGCCTATAAGCCTTGCTTCCAGACTTGGGGTTAGTTATCATACCCTCTCCATTCCCACTGCTATGTAACTTACCTTGAACGAGTCTCCAGAAATGAAACCAGTTGCCAGCCAACCTTGGGTACCTTACCAGGAGTGCCCCTAAACAGCATTTGGACTTGCAAACTCTGCAGAGACCACAGGCCAGGCTGTAAAGCCAGGAAGCCACTGAACCTAATGAAGCCCCTCTCCTTCATCTGCAAAATGATAAAAATGGCTAAACAACAGAGTGAGTGAACTATGCACTGGTCAGGACACAGTCAAGCTTACTGTGAGGTTTGTTAACTCTAAACCAGTGGAGAAAGATTGAAGTAAGTGAGATCTAAAACTTTAAATGTGGGGAAA